GTGTGTGTGTGTGTGTGTGTGTGTGTGTGTGTGTGTGGTATACACCTGTGTAGATGCGAGCCAGGCTGTATGCCAGGTCTCTTGCTGCTAGCTCCAGGTAGCTGGGTGCTCTGGTTGCTGCTACCTGAACAAACTCTTCCAGCTCGCAAAGAGCTCCGCCCACTGCTGTCACAGCTGGGGCCAATGAGGAAACGCTGGAGGCGCCAGCCAGCAGAGACTATAACACGAAGAAAACAAGCGCACTTCATATTTTTGTTCTGCTCAGTCACAAAGAAGATTTTTTCATTAAACTTGCTTTGACCTTGGTATGGCTGAAGTAGGCATGAAGAACCATCCCTGAGCTACGAGCCACACACCGCAGCACATCCAGAGACAAAACATTTGTGGTACCTTCCCATATGCTCAAAACCTGGAAAAGGAAGAGATAAGTTAGTCTTTCACTCTTTTTGTAAATCTCAAGCTATCACACCTCTAGTATCAAACTCACCTGTGCATCACGGAGTATTCCAGGCAAGCCGGTATCCTCGATGTATCCCTGGCCACCAAAGCTTTCCAAACCCTCCGACACCACAGCCATAGCCTGAGACAAACACAACACTGAAACAATCAGACAATCAAAACAGGCAAATAACAGCTAACGCTAGCATTCACACAAACTGTTCACCTGCTTCCCAGTGTACAGTTTGACGACTGGAGTGAGCAGCCGGAGAAGGTGAGCATCGTGCTCGGTTGCCACTCCACTTTCTTCTCGGCCCAACAGACGACACACATCCATCACCAGAAGAAAGGCCCCTCGAGACTCTACCTGTAGTGTGAGAAGCATGTGTCCTGAAGCATGACAGAAAACACTGTGTGGAGTTTGTTCACCCCCTGCCAGCTTACCTCCATTCTAGCAAGAGTCTGCATGTGCAGTGGGTGGTCTTTAAGAAGCTTTCTAAAGGCAGTGCGCCGAGTGGCATAGTCACGAGCTAACTGGAGCACCCTGTGAAGACACACAGTTACACAAATGTTTAACCAGCTTACTCATGCTGTGCTTTAAGAAATCAGCACAGATTCAAGTGTGGTAGTAGGAGCGGTGTCCTGCCTTCTCATAGCGGCTGCTGCAGAGACGCTGTTGTGGATCCTGGTTATGGTCAGCATATTAGCTATGGAGGACACACCTCTCCCCTCCTCTGAGAGCTGTTGAGGAAAACAAGTTTTCAAAGATTTGGACACATTATAAAAAAAAAAAAAATTACAAGGAACATGGCTTGTCTTGTTTCTCTAACAGTGAAGGTTGGTGGAGTGGACCATAAACTGCCTGAAAATGTCCATACCTTTAAAAAAAAAAAGAAATGTTGGATGATTTCCCTCACAGTGATTAATTACACTTTTGCCATATAACCATGTGTTATATAGCAAAAGTGTAATCACACTGTGACAAATTTCTGTAAAAATTCTCCCCCAGCAGGGTAATGCAGGATTTGTGGTACCACACTCGTGTCCCCCATGCTTAAGTGTTCTGTGTATGCACCCTACACAGCTGTACTTGTGTTACAGTCCAAAAAGGCCAAGATTATGAGCTTGACACATATAGCGCTATGAGTGAGTCCAATTCTGAGCTTTTAAAAAGTGGGCCTGAACAGGAAAGGGAACAAACATTATCGAAAAGTCAACCAAAAGAAAACAGCAGGAGAACCGCAGTCATTGTTTGCAGTGGACACTTTTCCTTATTTTTAACACTCAGTTTCACTTCAGCTTTCTTTATGTTGTAACTTTGGTCTTCCCCGCAGCTAGCTGAAGGCCCAACAACAGCAAGAACAGACCAGCTGTTCCACATATTGGTCACAATATGCCTCCTGCTGACAGTAAACAAATGCAACATGTAAGTGACTGAACACAAAGCTCTGTGTAGGACAGGCACGCAACCATGCTTGTTCCTTAATGCCCCCCACCACACTGCAAACGCTAGTCAGAAACCTACACGAGAAGCACAACAAAGAATCCGAGGGATTGACACCACCTCAAAAATCCCCACAACCCAATGTCAATTGGTATCCACAGGTTGCACAGGAGCAAGCCTGATCCAAAGAGGCTTACATGAATTGAAGAATTTACAACATCCTGGTGTCTGGAGAAGAGCCAGAGACAAGTCAATGCTACTTTAGAGGCAAAGTAGTAAAAGGAAAAAATTAATCTGTTCTTACCAACAACGAATGCAGATCTCTACTTCTTGCTTCTTTGCTGTTTTTTCTGAGCTTGTTTTGCTTTAAATGATTCTCTCATATTAATTTAGCTGCAGCCATTCACAGCTCATTATCTCATGCTGACTGAATGCTACCTGCCCGAGTGCTGCCGCTGGAGCTGCAAGCAGCTGGCACTCTCATGAGTTGCACATCTCAAAAAGTTTCTGAGGATTCAGTGGGTTAAGTGCTACAAAAGTTGATTTGTGTTTTTGCAAAGCACAGTGTGTACTTTTTTGTTACTGAGGAGTGGCAAATAAAATCACTGTGAATTTTTCCACCTAGCACACAAATGCAGGAATGGTTCCGCTTATCATTGCTGCACATAACTTGTTTTTGTGTGTGTGTGTGTGTTTAAGCAATTGCTCATATCTGCACAGATAGGAAACAAAGCCTATAGTTTGTCAATTAATTGTTATATCCAATGACCCAGCATGTGTAACTGACCCTGCGCGCTGGCAGGCCGTCCAGCAGTAGCTCAGCAGTCGGCATTTGGCGTGTCCCCAGCTTGTCCTTCAGTCGCTGAACCTCAATACCCCTCAATCGGCCATCCTCATCTCGACTCACCTCCGCATAGAAGAGAGACAAACCTTTGCTACCCTATGGGACAGAGAACAGCAGTCAATTATATCACTCTGCAAGTCATTGACAATGCTTTGTGACCGATGTCAGCAGTACTGGTATGGTTGCTCCGGTTTTGTCCTGCACTCTGGCCAGTGTAAGAGTCATGTCTGCGTCCGTAGCAGACGTGAACCACTTGAAGCCGTGGAGCTTGTAGGAACCATCTGTTTGTGGAACAGCCACCGTCTCAGTGCCGCTGGCTGAGGACAATGAAAACAACTCATGAAGCATTACAACAGTTACTCTTGTTCTGCATGACAAAGCGGGAAAAAAGTATGCAAACAAAGAATCTCCTCCACAGATATCTGATCCCTTGAAAAGCAGAATTACAACACTGTTGTACTGCAGCTCTTAATTTACAGATTGAATCTGGGACTGATAAATGCAGAAAACAGTGTCACTACTTACCCACATCAGAGCCTCCCTGTCTCTCTGTCATCCACTGTCCGGATGTCCAGAAGCGTTCTGGATGGCGGGTGGTCAAACGACTGTAGGCGTCTTCTACTGGCCACGAAACACCTAAGGACTTCTCATACACAAATCCAAACAATCATTCACTGTGCTTACAAGGAAAAACAGAACTGGGGTAAGCAAGTCAAAAATATGTGTACATTCACTACTATACAGCCATAACAGCAAAATATAGAGTTTTATTCAGTTGCTCGTCAATCTAATATACAGTTCCCTCAAGTACATGCTGCTGTTTTAAACAAAAGCTGGCACATTTTACATTTTTTTTATTAATATTATTAACATACACTGTGCAAACTGATTGGAAGGCAAATTCTCCTTAACACAAACAGGAAAATAAACAGCAAAAACATAATCTCCCTATAAAAGAGATAAATAACACAATAAACGATAATACAAATATACAATATAAAAGGAAATAGGGTGCAAAATGCATATAGTGCAAACTGTTCCAGATATGGCTATGATTATGTGGTTCCTCAGCCAGTTAAAACAATTTTACTGGGGTGACTTGATGGACTGATTAAATTCTTGTATAACTTTTGAGATGAAACTGTCTCTGGGCCTTTAGTCTCAGCATGAAATTGTCTGTAGCGTTTGACGGATGGGAGGACGATGAATTTATATTCTTAAAATGCCAATGTTTTAAACTACATTGGCTACAATATTCTTCACTTAATTCAGTTTTAAATGATTGGAGGTAAATCCCATTACTAGTTCTGTTGTTCTAATCAGTTTGGCTTACAGGACACTGTATTAGTCATGTTATTCACTTCTTTAAACACACCTGGATAACTTTTGCAGCTCCGTCGGTCATAGCAAGAGGACAGGTGTAGAGGCCAGATGAGGGAGAGAAAAGATACAGCTTGCTCATCTGGTACACACGACTAGGAAACAAATACATACACTTTTTGGAAGATGACAAAAACACGTTACTGAAGTGAAATAAGACACATGAGCTAAACCGAAAAAAGGAAGTGCAACGGTCTTCTAACCTCCACTCGCCAAATGACCTCTCATAGCCAATGGCAACGAGTCCTTCCTGCGCTGACAGGTCTTTCATGCGTTTCCAAGCATGGGAGGTCACAATGTGATCCACTCGGCGACCCCAGGGATCAAAGTGCACCAACCGTGGAGGATTGACCTCACACTCTCTACCCCAGCCATCCACCTCCTTTGCCACGTGTTCTCCAAATGCACACAAGTCTGAGAGAATCACCTGTAGACAAATTTATACACATACTATTCACACACATACACACACACACACATATACATATATATAAATTTTGTACTAATGTATGGTGACCTTGAGGGTCTTTAAAAGTGCTTATTATTACACACAATATATCGCAGACCTTATGAAACAGATCTCAGCCTGTTTACATGATAGGACAGCTCCTCCCTGGCTTTTTAATAGTAACAAAGACCAAAGTCAAACTCTTATTGCTTTTTATAAAATGAATTCGTGCTGGTGCAACAAAACTTAAGGAAAAATATGCATTACATATGTAACACTGTGCAAATACCCAACACTTCTTTCAAAAAGAAAACAAGTTATGAGCACATTAAAAAACAACAACAACAAAAAACACATTATAATATAGTAATATACACCTAATATGGACATTGTTATTTAATGGGCCTGTTGCTCTTGCTCTAAAACTTTTAGTATGACACCCTTTCTTGGGAAAAACATGTAACCCCTGCTCACCTCCTGGGGTATGTGTCTCTTCAGATATCCTCTGAGCAAGGCATCTTCTACAAATGGGTTCTTCAGCACTGGGTTTTCCTGAAAGAAAGGCCCTATCCTGGCTCGGGTGAATGGCAGGTAGCCTGCTGCCTCCCACAGCTGTTCTTCATTGGATCTTCTTCTGCCTGGCTCAGCTACAGAAGCTGATCTGACGTGGATCAGTGGTCGAGGTGAAGGAATGACACACCACAACCTGCAGGAGCCTCCGGCTACACGTCGGCTCAGGAGGGCTGAGGACACTGACATGGCCCAATACCTTCAGTCTGAGGTCTTACTAGGGACACAATGCCAATGCCATTAGAGCAGGGACAGGTGACATTTAGATAAAGGCAGGAATGTTTCAGTTTTTTTAAATGGGGTGGCACGGGGCTGGTGAGTGGCGTCCAAGAAGTAGTTGGGCTCAGGTAAAAAAAAAAAAAAGAGTTATAATAATTTTAATTTGTACAGATCTCCTTCTCCATAGACATCTATCTGCAAATACAGTAATAACAAAATACAAGCCACATTGAAGCACAGGAAGTAAGGTAACAAGCTAATAAAAATGAATCTGGATAAAACTGTTAATGGGTGTCATTTTTAGCTATAAATAAGGGGGTCTCACACATCCTTTGTTTAGAGTTTGCAAAGTAAGCGACAGTAGTGGACCAAACCAATGTGAAGTACAAGAGGGGAAGTCCATCTTTCAAATTAAATCATTATTTTCCATTAATATGTAAACCAGTAGCATTCACGGGATGTAATAATATTTAAGCTCAAATAGTTGCTTTGAAGCAATAAACTAATGGCAAGGACAAGTTGTATTGAAGTATTAAAGAGGACAACGGCACCCTCTGGGCAATGCCACCCCAGTGTCCTTTAGCACCACCCCTGGTCCACCCGGAGGCAGAACAGCATTCAGCTGAAAGCAATTTCTGTATATTTGGTTTTTATTTATTACTCAGAAAACAGGCGCATTTTTACTGATTTACTGATTCCGGATAGGATTAGCTTCTTTGTTTCTCCATTGCTGATACTTATTTCTTTATGTAAATTTATCTAGCTGGCTTGCAGACCATGGAGAAGATTGACAACCAAAGAAATGGGTCAAAGTTCATCTGGTTGCGTCGTTGCCTTTGTGCAGATATTATCTTACCGCTTGTATTCCAGGGTTTCCTTTATATTATTTAAATATATTTAAATATTAAACAGAGGCATATACTTGCTATCCTCTTCTTGAAACCCTTTATCATAACGCGTACTCTTCACACTCCAACCCGACAACAACACAGCAGTTAGCAATGACGTTCAACAAAGTTGTGAGCGCTTTATTCACGGGCAAGCTTACACAGACAACGCTGAATTAGTTTCAAATGAAACTTAAAAGCTTCCTAAATATCAAAGATATAGCTGCTAGCAGTCATCTTACCAAACGTTTTCCCAGCTGCGTTCACGTTCACGGCGGCAACTTAAGTTTCGCCTTCAAAATAAAAGTCTCTCCTCGTTTAAAGGTTCAAGTAGCACCTCCTGCTGCTACAGCAGCGACAAAAACAGCACGCAAACACACAGGTGACAAACACTTCTATCAAGGATCTATAGTGTATACAAAGGATAAAATATCAAGTATGATATGTTTATATAAATAAATATAAAACATCCCTTTTAGTTATGTTCTTTTGTAACTGCGTTGACGAGATGACTCAAAATAAACAAAAAGTGTTTACGTTCATTGTTAATTTTTTTTTAAAGCCAATGAACCTGTTATAGTTCATGAACGCTAGCTTCTGCACCTCCTAGCAGGTGGCAGGAAAGGAAAGATTTTAGTAGGAAGTGTTCTTATGAATCATCTGAGCTTTCAGTAAAAGCCGACGGTAGAAACTGGTGGATACCTGTACTCTGTTGTGTACTATTAGCCAAGCAGCTTCCACAACATACTAAGAGATTGTGCATCCAGTCAGATTACCTTCCACTGTGAAGCTGGACAGACTTGTAAGAATCCCTGTAAGAATTTTCTGCCGTTTAAACCTTGTGTTTCATGTCTCATTTATATAAAATAGATCCAAGAGTAGAAAAAACTGATTGAAAATGGATTGTTTGTAAAGACAAAGATAATCCACAGAACACAGGGCTCTAAGCACCACCAACAAAACTAAATTCAAGAATATTTACTGTCATGGCGACAGAAATCCCTTCCTGTAACACTATAATTTACTTAAGCCCAAATGTAAAATTTCCCAGAACAAATACTTTATTATACACCACATACTGACCAACATAATGTGTTGCTGAACCAGTTTTATTGTTCCAAGTAAAGGTTTGTCAAAAATACAGTATCCTTTGTTCCAACGAGAACATAAAGACTGAAAGCATGCACCGTTTAATAAAACATTTCCATGATGGGTTAAAAATCTGTTCAAAAAGAAGGACAGAGGCACTGAATAATTATTAAACAATTCAGCAGTTAACCTTTTTTTTTTCTTCCCAAAATGAACACAGAACAGTCAAAGGTTAAATGAAGAAGGAATTTAAGGGAATAATAAATGTACTGATATAACCCAGTATGTAGCTCCTGTTTATGGATGGGGAATATCTCCCAAACATAAAAGATGAACCCGGTTTTCTGTCCAGGTTGGAGAACACTGATGTGTTTTTAGTGTGCAAAAATAAAAATAACTGTGTAACTACAGGCTGCAATACAGAACAGAGACGAGTTAAGCCCAAGTCTTTAGTGTGAAAACGTCACCTGACAATGGACCAAAATGAAGAAATGTAGTTTGTCACAACAACAGTTGACTATATAAAAGAGCATACGCTGCAATAAACATACAAATTATTTAACAGCTCAACCAGGATAGCATGTTTTAAACATAGATTAACAGATGTAAGAGGGTAATAAAAAGGGACAAAATAAAACCACAGGCCCAGAGGCAATCGACAGTGAGAACCTAAAAATACAAACCGGTTACAAACTGATTCAACACATGGAGGGATTAATGAAAACAAACCCCAAATATTCACACATGAGAGTGGGTCCATGGAGACTTGAAATGATGACCAGTTTGTTAATGTTCACATCTTTCATTTGATTTTGGTTTTCTTTAATCACCCTTTGTAAGGAGGTCTTCTATGTAAGCATCAAGTTCATCATCTGTGTTTATGTCAATATCCTGTGGGAGGAAAAAAGGCACAATAATCACTCACTTTCTGCAAAGGGGGGGTTTATCAACAATGTGCACATGATGAGGAGCACAGATTAAGAAGTGTTACCTCTTGTACTTTCTGCAGAAGGGCCACAATGTTTGTTCGGAGTTTCTGTAATTTCTCGTCTGCCTCCTTTAGTTTGAGCTCAGTGTTGTTGTTTTTCTCCTCCACAGCTTTGGCCCTGGCATCAGCTCTGCTCTGGTATGAATTACACAATGACTGCAGACCCGATTCATACTGCTGGAAATACTCTTTCTATATGCAGGAGGCAAAAAAACAAAAACAAATCAGTGGGAGAATTCAACAGAATTGGCAAGAAAACACAGCAGTTAACATCTTCACTTATAATTTCAATGTTAATTTGTGCACTATTGCCATTGTTAAATAACTATCTAGTTATTTAACAAGTTTTTTTCCCCATCTAGTTTCATCTCACACTAAAAGATCAAACTATTATCCATCTAGTTTCTGGCACTTATCCAGCAAACTAAGCAGAGGTGACCAGCCTTAACTCCTTGGCCAACTCCTCCAGCTGGTCTTGTGAAACACCAAGGCATTCCCAAGCTGCAGCGGAACACTGCACACAACAGTGGAAGATAATTTTCACTACAATCTAATTTTTCCATCAGACTTGTGGACACTGATGAGGTGTGAAAAAGTCTGGCTCAAGTGTCAAAGACGGTGATAGGTAAGTAGACTGAGCAGACATTTTGGGGTCCCAAAGATGGTCAGTTCATTTACAGTGACCTCCATCAATTTGAAACTTTGTGGGAACAGATCAACCAGTAAATTCAGTTCTACTTTCACTCTTTCTTCATCACGCAAGACTGATACAACAAGCACATGATCCCAGCTGCCATAGGGTGAGAGGCATGGTGAATACAGGAACAGACAACATTCACATTCATATTTCTTTTTGCTGTGCTATTTAAGCTTCTTTTTCTTGCATCTTTCTGCTTAAATTTAGCATTCTGCTTTTGCTTATCCGTCACAAGATAGAAGAAGCTTTTATTATCTCACCAAAGGAAAGGCAACCAGCTCCTCGGCTGTCATGCTATTAACATCGTCCTTTGGGATCCGAAAAGCAGGAGGAAAGAAGTAACGCAGCATTGTTCTAGAAACATCAAGAGCACGATAAACACACAGCAGTTATGAGAGTTACAAGACTTCAATAAAGAATGATAACAACATTGTAACCATTGTAACCAGCTCACCTCAACATGGTGACCAGGCTGTCAGTCACCTCTCGGCTGGTTCCTGGCTGAGTAGTGTCTGGCTCCATGGGTGCCGGACCCTTCTCGGTCTCCTGCTGGGTGTCAGGTGTCTGAGAGATTGGAGATGGTGGTCGCATCAGCCGGACTTCATCGCTACCCTTAAATACCCTTTACAGAGAGATCCATACATGTATAAGATTCGAATCACCTGCCAAAACATGTTTAGAACGCAACATTCACACAGACTGCATCTTACCATCGATCTTTAGGGGTGGACCGAGGTACGTAGTCAAATTTAACTTTCCAGCGAACACTTTGTTTATTCGCCTCAACGGCGATGACTTTGCCCGTATACCACTCCTTATTGACGCGTACTTCGACCAGCAGACCCTTATCTGGAGAAAAAAATACTCATTTTCCAGTTCTGTATTTGATTCACATCAGTAGAGAGTGGACCATCATCTCACCTTTCTGAGCATTTTTAGTGTCGTTTTCTGGTTCCTGTTGTAGAGCTTTATCAGGTGCCTGTAAAAATACAAACAAAATATGACCACAACAGTTTGAGAAATCACTGAAAAGGCAGTCGGGTTAGAAACAGTCTTCAACAACTTAGAGGTTGAAATGAATGGCATGCTTGGTTATAAAGAAACTGTTATATATTAATAAAATGATTGGTTTTGTTTTGAAAGAACCGTTAATCTATATGAGCTGAAAAAGTAAGTGTTGATTGTTAGAAGTTGTGAGAGCAGCAGGCAGCCCAGCTTGATTCGACAGTAGAAGAGAGAGGGACACAATAAAGCTACCTTTTCTTTAGCCCCGTGTGTAGAAACGGATTTAGGGGCAGAGGATGGTGTTGTTGGTGCCTGCCGTGTAGGGGCAGACACTCCTTTCTTCTCAAGTTGAGAGTGTGTTTTAACCTGCAAGGTCAATAGCAAAGGGGTTCTGATCGGAGGTTCAGCAACCTGATGGACCACCCAGGTATGTCCATATTCCCTTAGTGTCTTAAGCAGAAGTCTAAGATACTTTAATTGCAGCTACTTTGTGTTCAGACACCATAAAGTAAGTGAGCAGTATGAGTAAAGCTTTGCTCCAATAAGCAGCCAATTAATTTAAAACTGACAGACTTTACCTGAATTAATGCAGATATCATAATAATGTTGAGCATACAATCACTTCCTAGTCCATTCATTACCTTATCCACATCCTGAAATTTATTTCTCAGAAAGCAAAAGCGGGAAAATGTGAGCAAAAGCAAAAGTCCTTTGAGCAAGCTGCACGCTGAACACGCAGGATTAAGGTTTGTGCAGAATTACTAGTGCTCTCATTTCACACCCCAGGTTAATCATCTTGTTTTGATGTGCAGTTGTTTTTCAGAGCTGTAATACATTTTCAGCAGTTACAAATCTGCACTACAGTTTTTGCCTCTGTTCTTTACCTCATCCAACTTTCCACGTTTGGGAGGTGGGGCCTTCTCTACGACTTTGCCACGGTTAGTGGCAGCTGCAGCCATCTTGGATTTTTTTGTCTGTGGTTCTTCTTCACTCTCCTCGCTGCCTTCTTCTTCTTCCTCTTCCTCCTCCTCCTCTTCTTCTTCTTCTTCCTCACTCTCCTCCTGCTCTATTATTCTCTTGCGCTGTCCAGCAGCTGCTGGTTTGGCAGGTGAAGCTTTGGCGGATGCCTATATGAGGAGACAGCTTTCAGTATTTTACACTGCTTTATGGTAGGATTTGTACATGAAGCCATATGAAATACTTTCACAACAAAACCTTTTGTTAAATCAAACCTGTAACGTACCCGTGAGCTGCGGCTGGGTGGAGGCGTTTTGGCAGTAGCTTTGGGAACAGGTTTTGCTGCAGATGGAGGAGGTTTTGCTGCAGCTCTGGACCTGGATGGCTCAACCTTTGGTGGAGTTGGTGGTATGGCTGATGTTCGGGTGGGCCGCTGAGAAGCACTACGTCCTGGTGGGGCACTTGGGGCATTTTTGAGGTGAGCTGGGAGTGGTGGGGAGCGTGGGCGTGCAACAGACCTTTCAGAAGACCTGGTTGCCTGAATTGTTAACGTGAAAGGACACAAAACTAGTATTTGAGTATGATAATGAATACATTTGAACAAAGAGGAAAAAAAAAAAAAGGGAAAAAAGGATCACCATCAACAGCAGTGTTTGTCTTTAGTCTGAC